AAGAACCTGGTTGCTTTAATAAATACACTGCAAAAAAAAAAAGAGAGAGAGGAAGGAAAATCTAGAGTAAAGAGTCTTAAGAGAGATATCAACAAATTGCAATGTAGAGGCATTTCTTGGATCTTGATTTGAACAAACTGAAAAAGTTTTAGAGAAATTTGAACATTGACTGGATATTTGATTTAATTAATAGATTATTATTTTTATTATAAGTAGTGTTATAATGATACTGTGATTATGTTTTTTAAATTAAGAGTCCTTGTCTTTTAGAGATACACACTGCGATATTTATAAGTGTAGTGATATCTCAGATTTGCTTCAAAATGCAGAATTGAGGGAGGAGTATATATAAAATAAGAATTAATTGGTGATGAAGCTGGGTGATGATATATTGGGGTTCAGTCTACTATAGTCTCTTCTTTTAAATATTTGAATTTTCCATAATGAAATTTTTTTTTTTAAGCTTATAGTGAAAACTGTATTGCCTGTGAAGTTCGGTTTATTTCAAGATGTGAAATAAAACTCATACCAAGCTTTTATATCTCTTAGTATTATTTTGCAGTATGTAAAATTTGTCTAAATCCAAGTTCTTTTACACATCTTGAGAGAAAAACTGCTGTATTTTAAACATGGATCAATTAAGGTAAAACTGAAATATCACTTTTTCTTCCATCAAGTAAAAATCTTAGACGGTATTAGTCTGAGTTTCATCATGGAATACTTTAATATTACTTTCTCTTTGCTTTTTATCTCTATCAGAGTTTAACCCTTCACTTATTTACCATCTCCGTTTTCATTTTCTGGCCAAATGCACAAATTACTTCACTTGGACCTTCATTTTCTGGTAATAACAAAATTTGTCCTTGGTCTCTGTTTAGTGGGATTTTTTTTTTCTTTTCTTTCCTATTAGATATTTTGTCTAGAATGAATCATAAACCTCTGTAGTTTTAATGCTAAATGCTTTTGTCTACCTCATCTTTACTGAAGTTACTACCATGTCTCTTTTTTGTGTGAAGCTGTAGAGTCACTATTGATTTTCCAAAATCTTAACAATCGTTGACTCTAGTTTGGGTCTGTGTTCTGTGATTTTTATTATTGTTTCAAAAGCGGATTTGCCTTTCCAGTGCTATTGGGTTAGACTGATGTTCGAATTACTTTACCTATCCTGAGTCAACACCAGATGGCGTGGAGTGAAAAACCTTAGAAGTGTAATGGATGGTAGGGAAGCTATTTTGAAACTTAAAATGTATCATCAAAAACTGATTATTACTATTCCTAGAAAAGCTACTCAGTATAGTTTTCCCCCTCCTATTTCTGATTGTTATAGATGGTATGTTTTCTGGTTTGAAGCCTGATAATATGACAATCAAATATTTGTTCTAGGAAATAGGTTATTATTCAGGTATATTCATCAACCTTATGACCTAGGAGTTCGTCTGTGTAAATCTAAACTTATGGAATTTTACCTAAATGCGTGTCTCCAACTCATTTATAACTGATTAGTGAAGCAATTGGAAAGTACTACTGCCCTGCTAACTACCCAGATACACTGGGGCAGGTGTTAATGTCTCTGCTTCAGGGTCCTTACCTCTTACCTTCTGAGTTGGATGGAATAATCTCCAAAGACTCTTTCAGCTTAAAACTTCTCTGAATGTCAGTTCTTTATCCAACTTGTGAAACAGCATTAACTTTTATTTCTTTTTCAGTACTTTTCTATATCTTTCTCCCTTACTTATTTGATGCTATGGATTCTTCATCAGAATTTATAGAACAAGTCATACTTTTCTAAAAAGGAGGATATCATGAAACTTCATAAATTGGCCCTTTAGCATTGTAAAATAGAGTTGTAGATGGTGCGCTATTGCATAGATATGCTATGTCTGCCTAATACACATTTTCGGTTGATTGGGTATTTGCTAAAAGTGGGTAATTTAAATTATCTACCTGCAATTTAATTCTTGTAGATCTCTAGTTTTTAATCTTGCAAGTGGTTAGTATGCATTTAAATGAAACTATGAATTGGTATGTAATATAATTTACATTTTTAGTAGTTAGGTATTAAATTCTTACAATATAGTTCATGGATATTTGTTACAAAGTGAATGTTGCAGTTTTTAGTACTTTCTCCCATAATCCATTCAGACTGCAAGAGCTACACAGAATTTGATTGTGCCAGGGTACATAGAAAATTGCCAAAGAATAGTTAAGGAAGGGGACACACGAAGTCATTAAACCTGTGATCTAAATCATGGGATGTGAAGCCTACTTAAAGACAGGGCTAGATTTAAGTCATCTAATGGGGATTAGAAGAGGAAACAATTTCACCTCTCAATAGGATTATTTTATTTTTACCTTAGTGGCTAAGTTTTCCCAAGAAATTTCTCTTCAGCAATTTATTAACTACTTACCTGTCTTTCATCCTGATTGCTTTAATTTAGGATATTTGACTTTCTAAGGGCTTTAGCAACTTTCTGTTGTCCCAGATAAGTCACTTTAAAAGCTTTTGTGTTTCTTTCCTACTTCAGTGTGTTTGACATCTTTCTGGAACTTCTTTGGCTTCTATGGTATATTATTCTTGCTCTGAATTTACTTTCAGGTTAATTTCTCTCTTCTTTAGGAGCTAAGGTCACTTGTGCCTAGTTGAACTCCCGTGCCTGAGTAGGGACTGTCGATACTAAGATTTATTTAGGGTCATCTCATTAAGACTTATGCAGAGGGCTGGCCCAGTGATGTAGTGGTTAAATTCATGTGCTCCCCTTCAGCAGCACATGAAGGTTTGCAGGTTTAGATCCCGGGTGTGGACCTTGACACCGCTTATCAAGCCATGCTGTGGCAGGCGTCCCACATGTAAAGTAGAGGAAGATGGGCATGGATGTTAGCCCAGGGCCAACCTTCCTCAGCAAAAAGAGGAGGATTGGCAACAGATGTTAGTTCAGGGCTAATCCTCCTCACCAATAAAAAAACTTATGCAGAGATGTGAGGTAATCTTGCTCAGATCCGTGGGTTGTTTATTACTGGTCCCCAAAAGAGAGGCCTCCTGACTGCTACAGAAAAGATCAAATATCTGTGTTCGGGTACAATTGTACATGAAAGGGAATTGCAAGCAAAAGTCAAATGAACAGATGAAAGTAAAATAGGCTTTAATTTATTTTAAAAATTAGGACCAGAAAACAGATGCTTCACAAACTCCTGTGTAGTTCACCCAGTCACCCTGGACTGAAGAGTAAGTTAAAACTCGCACAGGGAGCCAAAGGAGGATCAGAATAAAACGTGAAACAGCCGAGGTCTCTAGAAATAGGAGGCAGTAAACCATTAGAATATGAAGTAAAATAACCATGATTGCTCTTTCAAATACTCATTAAAGAGTGTCTTTCTGTTTCGAGAATGCCCCATGCCTCCATGTGTTAAGTACTCTTCCTCTTCAGTCTCCCACATATTCTCTTATACAGGTCTTCATCACCTACAGTACCAATACTCAGAGGCTAATAATGGCCTCTATCCTTGAACATCTGCTACTTGCCAGACACTGATCTTGGTGCTTTCGCATTATCTCATCTTGATCACGAGATCAGTATTATTATCCCTACTTAATAGATGAGGAAGTTAAGCAGTCATTTACTCAAGGTTACACAGCTGGCAGTTTTGCAACATGAATTTGAACATAGGCCTTTCTTCTCAGGTTTGTAATTTTTCCATTTTGCTTTATTATAATGTCCTCTTATCTCCTTCCTGTAATCTCTCTTCTTGCAGGCTTATTCCCATTTAGAGTTTCTCAAATACTGTTTTCTTTGCTACTTCACTATTCAAAAATGTAGAGTCACTCTTGATTTTGCTCAGTTGTAAATTCGGCATTCAAAGCTCTTTCCAGACCTGCCGCGTTTCTTTCTGATTATTAATTACCATACTATGCTATACACTTGGAATACTCATTGCCTGCTATGCCTTCATATCTGTCCGTCTGATTTGATTACCTTTCCCACTGATGTTCTATGTTCCTCCTCTCCTAAAAGTTCTTGTTCAGACCTTTTGTGATTGAACTCATTTGATGGTTTACTTCCACATGACGTTCTCTCATCCCTTATATATTCACTGTGTATTGCATTGCTATGTAGTTACTCTCTGGGTTGTTGCAATTGTATGTTATTGCATATAAACAATTATTTAAGCTCCTTTCAAGTGGATACTCTGCCCATTTTCTATTTCACATTCCCTCAAAGCACCTGGTAGAATTTTTGATCCAGAAAGCATTTAGGTAATCTGACTAACTTGTTTCATTTGAAGTCTACATTTTAATCAGATAAAGCTAATAGCATGGTCATGTATAATAATTTAAATCCTGATATTTGCATCAAAAAAAAGGGATAATGATATCTTCAAAAAGTTGGTACTTAAAACATCATAGTCTATGGAGCCGGCCTGGTGACGTAGTGGTTAAGTTTGTGTGCTCCGCTTCAGTGGCCCGGGGTTCGTGGGGTTCAGATCCCGGGCACAGACCTACACACTGCTTGTCAAGCCATGCTGTGGTGGCATCCCACATCTAAAATAGAGGAAGATTGGCACAGATGTTAGCTCAGGGTGAATCTTCCTCAAGCAAAAAGAGGAAGATTGGCAACAGATGTTAGCTCAGAGCCAATCTTCTTCACCAAAAAAAAAAAAAAAATTTGCAGGCTAAAACAAAGCAATTCCCCACCCCAAATAAGTAGGCTATGATTCACTTTGCTTAAAAACAATTGTATTCACCATGTGATGACTTTAACCATGTGAAGACATTTGAAATATTTAGATGTTGAAGGGTGTCATTTCCCTCTGTGACATAATAATTTTCCTTTTCTCACTCTTTTTTCCCTAACATATCAGTCCACCAGTGGCATAAGTTGCACGACAAATACAGGCTTGTACTAAAACCTAAAGCAGCCCTGGGCACCTCTCAGAGATGAGAGTTTGAGGGTAATTGTTGAAATTGTGATAGTCAGTTTCAATCCTGTGTTTTCTTTTTTCAGGTTTCCTGAAATGCAGTTTTTCCAACAAGAAAACGTGAGAAAAATTCTTACAGATGTTCTTTTCTGTTATGCTAGAGAAAACGAGCAGTTGCTTTATAAACAGGTAATGAAAATATCGTACAGGTGGCATCCATTGACTCAAAATTTTCTATACAGCTTGACAAATGATAGAGCAATAATGTAGCCTTTATTGTATCCAAAGTTGTATCATAATAGTAAAGCAATCAAGGAGCTGCTTGTCAGCTGCATGGTGAGAAAAGTAAGCTCATTGAAGCACATATGCTTCTTCCTTATTATAAGACATTCCACCAAATTGTCTTCTATAAGGCGTTCAGTCTTTTCTTTCAACTTTTGGGAGTTTGTTTATACACAGCATCTTTGAAGCCAATCTAGTAATAAAACTTTTTAGTGTTGTATGTATAAATATTGTTTGTAAGCACAGCATTTGTAAATATGTGACATGCCACGTAACAGATAATGTCCTTTTACTCTTTAAAATTTACCGGTAATACAACTTTGGAAAGTCCCTTTAACTTTTTTGAAATTTATATAATATTCTTTGTGATCCTGATATTTGATTCATCCCATTACTAAAGCGAAGGAGACTGTTGGATTATGTTTATTTTTATTGAAATGTAAATTATTAATATATAAAGAAGTATCTAGGTTTCTACTTAAGCTTATGGTGTTCCAATAAAAATACACAGAGCTCGATATTTTTCTGTACTTCTCCAAATGTATATTAAGTGAGAATTCAAACTAAATTAATAAATTCTCTAACAGTCAAAACTTATGACGTATGTCCAAATGTTGACTACCTAATTTCAATGAAATATAACAGAAAACACCTGTATGATGAGAGCAATATATTTAATGTGAAGTAAACTTTATTGATTTAAAGGTAATAAACCAAGTAATATTACAATTGTGCTAAATAATGCATTTGTTATTGTATACATAGAATACCCTAGGGAACTAATTGTATCTTAGTTTTAACATATGTAATATGTCTTTATATTAATTACATGGTGATAATCACCTTTTAGAATGGGAAATGGAAAAAATATATGCCATGCATAATGGCAACCAAAACTATAAAATGTGTAGAATAAATTTAACAATATAGCTACAAAAGCTATATGAAAAACACTATAAATGTAACTGAAGGTTATAAGGCAAAAGTTAAATAGAAAACTGATAGCATGTTTTTAGATGGGAAGACATTAAATAAAAATATTACTTCTTCCCAAATTAATATATAAATGTATTATCGTTCCAGTGATCATCTAAGTAAGAAATGAGCTTTTTAAAAACTGGGCACAGTTATTTTAAATTTAGTGCCAAAAAGCTTTACAATAACTTTAATGGTGATAATATAGCTTAGTGGCTAAGAGCACTAAGTCTATACTCAGATCCCTTTATTTGAATCTTAGCTCCACCGTTTGCTAGCTACATAATCTTAGACATTTATTTAACTTTTCTAATCCTTAGTTTCGTTATCTGTAAGATGAGGTCAATAATAGTATTAACTTTGTAGAGTTAAAAATATATAGTGCTCACTAAGGGTTCATGTTGGTGGTTGTGGTTGTTATTATCATCATTGTTAAATATGGTGGAATTGCCCTTCCCCTAGGGGAAGGGGAGAATGGAAAAGGGAGATATGAAAACTTCTGTAAAGGTTCTTTGATCAAACCAATGCGATGGCAGTGTGAGAAGCGACAAATAGATCAGTGGAACAAACTAAGAACAGGTCCAATTATATATGAGATCTTAATATGATAATCTAAGACGTTTTCATTCAATGGGAAAAGGATATTGACTTGCCATATTTGGCTTTCCATCTAGAAAAAATATTAAATTATGCCTTTTTTGGAGAATAAATTCCAGATGGAGTAAAGATTTAAATGTAAAAACTAAAGTTATATGAAAATACTATAAAAAATTTAGGAAGGTTTTTTATAATCTCAGGGTAGGAATGGCCTTCCCAAGCAAGATAGGCTATACCAAAGTTAGATACAAAGTCCAAAGACCGAAAACAAACAAACTGAAAAGGAGATTGGGAGAAAATAAGTCTATCAGTGTAGAATTTTTGGAAGCAAATAACAGAAAATGCTATTCAAAATGACTTAAACTCTAAGGGTATTATTAACATACTTTACAAGAAGTCTGAGGGCAAAATTGTTCTGCAGCATTAGTTCAGTAGCTCAGACTCTTCATCAGTGACCCAGGTTTATTTCTATTTTTCTGTTCTCCTCTCCTTATTGTGTTGGCTTTTGTCATCAAGCCTACCTCCTCATTGTCCCCTCTTCTCTTTCAAATATTTGAAAATACCTCACAGTAAAAAAAGATTTGATGATAGTGAATAAAGTCAGAATAGAATTATCCCAAGTTATACATTTGTTTTTCCTTTTTCTTTAGAGAAAGAAAAAACTAGATCAAGGAAGTCTTATAATAATGGAAACAAATTCCTCAGACAAGGAACAAAACATAATAGTTGCACACTCCATCATTTGTGATGTATGTGGCCCACTGCTTTTGAGTAGACAGGAATATGGAAGATCAGATTCTTGATAATTTAGACAAAGTCTATCAAATACTGAATAAGAACGTATTATTAACTTACTGCTGAGTATAACTGAATAAGATTTAATTACTCCCTATACATGTTTAAAATCCTATAGATTCTTTACATAGAAATAATACCTTGCTGTAGAAGGACTGAATATTTAGCCAGATCAAATTTAAGAAAAAACCTTGAGTTTCATCACAAGCTGTTAAAGCTATTATTTTGTACTAGGTGACACCCCGTTTAACATCGACCATATTGTTAATAGTTATGGGATTTTATTGAATTAATGAGACTGTTATCATGTAGTAGAATGTCTTGCTGAGTTAATTGAAACTGCAGAGATTATATAAATGGTATTAATGAACTTTGACTGCCTGATGCCTCAGCTTTAATAAAGACTGCTTGGTGGGCTAAATGAACACAGGCAGATAAAAGAACAGGTTCAATTTTGTGAGCCTACAGGCTGTTGATGAAGAAAACTTCGTTACCTTTATTTTCCACTGGCATGAGTTTGGAGTGCAGTGACTACTAACGATCCAGCAGTGATAAAGGCTTTAAGCAAGCAGAAATGCTGACAATGTAGATAGAAGCAAAATACACATTTTGGGAACCAAGATGTATAGTGACAATACATTATTTTTTGTCTTGCCTTGTCAAATTTACAGTGTATTGAAGTTTTGATCGTTCTTTCTAGATAGTTTTGTTTTCCTTTAAGGATGTCTATACACTTGCCACTTTTAACCAGGTTTTACCAGTTTAGAATTGAGAGCAAAACCAACAATCTCTTTCAAGTCTTTTTGAGAAAATATCCCTAGTTTAGTTGGAAGTCAACACTGAATTTGTAAAAGATTGTCTTAATGGTATTCAGAGGACTCTTAATTTCCATTGTAGAGAGAACATCTTTATTTATTGATATGAAATGTTGAAATATGATTTAGTGTTATTCTTTTCCATTTTTCATATTTCAGTTCAACTTTTACTGGTGTGTTGCTATACTGAGTGGTAGATATTTCATTCATTCAGTCGCCGTGTGCTGACCTGTAGTAGGGCTGGTTTTTTGTGTATATATGTGTGTATGTATATACACACACGAATCGCTTATCACAGTTTTTAATTGTATAGTCACTTCTGTCCTCATTTTATTATTGTGTCTTTCTCTCTAGACTGTAAGCTCCGTAATGGTTAGAAACTTGCCCACTTCATTCACTTCTGTGTTCCCAGCACATCGTAGGTAGTTAATAAACAATTTCGGGAATAAATGAAGGCAAATGATGCATAAGCAAATGGAGAATCTGGAGAGAGTAGTATCACAGAAACTGGAGGGAAGAGAACATTTAAAGAAGGTGGGAAGATGTGTTTACACAAGAATTCTTTCTTATTAAACCATCCATAATTAGTTAGAAAGTATATTGTGGGAAAAAGACCCATTCAGAAGATCACCACCATCACCAAACAAAAACCTAGTAATAAATCTAATAAAAACTATGCAGTTATACAAATTTTTGGATTGGAAAATCTGGTGTTCTTAAAAGTATCTGTTTTCTTCAAATTAATTTTAATGCAATGTCAATAAAAGTTACAGTATTTTATTTAGCACTTTATGTAACTAAATGATACTGAAGTTTATTTGGATGAAAAAATTAAGTTAGAATAGGCAAGATAATTTTGAGAAAAAGAGTAGAAAATATGAAGGAATAGAATATTTTACAGCTCAAGTCATTGCAGTACTTAAAGTTCTTGTTAAGAATATACAAACCAGGGCTGGCCCGGTGGCGCAGTAGTTAAGTTTGCGCATTCTGCTTCCGGGGCCCTGGGTTCACTTGTTCGCATCCTGGGCGTGAACCTACTCACTGCTCACTAGGCCATGCTGAGGCAGCGTCCCACGTAGAAGAAATAGAAAGACCTACAATTGGGATATACAACTATGTACTGGGGCTTTGAGGAGAAAATAAAGAAAAAAGAAGAAGACTGGCAACAGATATTAGCTCAGGGCCAATCTTCCTCAAATAAAAAAAACAGAATACAAACCAATGGAATAACTGATAACTGTTAAAAAAAGAGAGAGCTAAATATCAGTCTATGGTAAAAATATTTCAGAACTCTTGGGAGAAAATGGGTTATTCCTTAAATGGTGACTATTCAATAAATTAGTTTAACTCTTTTGGAGAGAAAAAATAGGTATTTATTCTTCAAGGCAAAGTTAAATACCAAATCAGTAAAGAATTAACTGTAAAAAAGGAAACTATAAACTTACCTAATCTCAGTGTGAGGAGGGTCTTTTTAGGCATGAAAGCAAAACAAGAAACTATGAAGGATGATTTATCGATTTGACTATTTTAAAATAGATAGCTTCCCTATGACATATCATCAAAATTAAAAGACAAATGATAAATGTGGGAAAGTATTTGTAACAAAAATGACTAAGAGTATCTTGAATTGGTGAAGAACTATTATATATCATCAGGAAAAAGGAAGTACTAAATACTTCATTAGAAGAAAATGAGAAATTCATTAAATAAAAATGACCATTAAAATTTTTGCATTCAGTATCACTAGCATTTAAATAAGCTAAAACAACAATTTGACAGGATCTCTTAAAAAACACTACAAACAGATGAGAATGTGTGAGATGTGATTTTCGTGTTCTAAGGTGAGGGAATTCTTTCTGAAGGGCAGGATGGTTGTACATATCAGAGACTTGAACAAAGGTCTTGACTCACTTACCCAGCAATTTTACTTCTAGGGACTTTATCCTGAGGAAACTATCAGAAATAGGCAAAAAGAATACCACAAGGGTATCTATCACAGTGTTTCGTTTTTTTCTTTCCTTTGTTTTTTAGTGTTTCCCTCCTCCTTTTCTTTTTTATTTTTGCTTTTCTGTAGTTTCCTACAATAAGTAGCTATTACTTTGATAATTAAAATTATGGCTCTTGGTTTTTGGAATAACTTGAAATTATTTCAGGAGAATAAACCCCTCATGATGATTTTAAAACATACTTAGCAACACTTAATTCCATTCTTTCTGGGTCTCTCCCATGTTCTTTTCAGGTTTGCTTAGTAAGGAAATGGTTGCCTAAAAAGATTGAAGTAATGTGTAGTTTTTTGTCCTAAATCACAAGTAAATTGTCAATAGATCATACGTTATTTTGTAAAAATGTCATTGATAACTTATAAATGAACTCTGATAGACTTTACTTTCTTATTATTTTGTGATAACAATTAGCTTCCTAAGAATAGCACAGCACTACTAGACCGTGCGGGGGGCTCGGTGACTGTCCTTCCATCACAAGAGGTTGGCTCTAATTCCCCCAGCAACAACTTTCTCTTCTCTGTGCTTCCATATTTTATTTTTATTTTCTGTAAAGGTGTTGTTTTGTCTTGTTTTTTAGTAAAAGATCATCCGTATTAATTAAGCAAAAGGAAAATGATAATTTACTCACTTTAAGAGGCAGAAAGGAGTATAATCTATTTTTAACTTGCTAAAATATGTTTCTTGATGCTTAAGGGGGAAAAATCTCATTTAACAAGGCAAGTCACTAGTGTGGAATACTTTATTTCTGCACAATAAAGGATAAATAATGGATTTTTATAATATTCTTTTAAACACAACTTAGTAACTAATACAGCTTTTTGTTTTTATGCCTATTCATGTAATCCACAGGTGAACATAAATATAAGGAAAAAGAAAATCATGTTGGTGAAATCACTAAATAAATTGAAAAGTAATCTTGTCATTGAAATATACAGGGAAAAAATATATGATAGTCTTCTGATTAAACATGTTGAAAATCATACTTTATAAACTTTGTTTTCTGTCGTATCTGCTAAAGGTTGTTTCTTTTATTATCTAACCTTTCCAACTAGCTGACTTCAGCTCTTCGTAAATCTACAGACATCCTAATTTTGACCCATTATATAATGAAAACATTGGTTGTAATTTCCTTAGGTCTACAGTTCTTAGTTGCCCTTCTTACCGTAGATCTTTATACTGTAGCTCATGATTATAATTTGCGTAAATGAAATTCATATTTATGAGTACAGATCTTGAAGCAACTGACAGGTGCAGGGTTGTCTACCATGCCAATTTATTGTTTGTTGTGTCGTTGAAAAGAGGACTGCTCTCCGTGTTTTAAAGAAGAGTGCGTGCTGTGGTTGAATTGGAATCAAATTCTAAAAGTAGATAAATCTCAGTTGTGGCTCTTCATTTGTATGCCTTTCTGTAGAATCTGGAAATGTTGGTGGCAGGGATCAGTTGAAGAAGCGTTTAACTGAGCTTGTTCTGTCCACTAGTTGACTCTCAACATCTACCCCTTTATTTCTTTTGCTCTTATGTTTCAGGGTATGCACGAGCTGTTAGCGCCTATAATCTTTACCCTCCACTGTGACCACCAAGCTTTTCTTCATGCCAGTGAGTCTGCACAACCAAGGCAAGTTTTTATATGAGCTCCATCTGTTTTTTCAGCCCTGCTATAATCTTTTTTACCTCGAAATCTTTTAAATTGAAGGTACTTTTGTAAATTGTAAACATTTGGTTGTGTTTCATGTGGCTGATTGTTAATTCCACTTAATAGTTGTAATCCCAGTTCAGCTATGGGGCAGACTTGGAATCATAAAGGTCTTTGCAAATCTTAGATCTGTATTGAAGGAGGATGTATAACTAACAGACCAAGGAGAGGAAGTTTTTGTTGTAGGGGCAAAGTGCTAATGATTGATAATATTCATATATACCATCTTCTAATGACCCATTCTTTGACTGCCAGCTGCTTGAGGATCTTGTCTGTGAGATACTTTCTCCTCACCAGGTTTGAATCAGTTCAGTTCATAAATAGGAGAAGAGTAGCACAAAGAACCCCATCTATGAATAAACAAAAATGACTTCTCATATTTTTGAGATAACGTTAATTTATTCTTTCTAGCAAATAACTTTAGTAATTATATTTAACTTAGGCTAATTGTTAGAATTTATTTTCTAACTTAAGATACCCTAATTGATGGGCCAGAGAGGCAGCCGGGAAACATTTCAGGAAGGAAGAGCTGTGGGATTATAAAACTTTGTCAGGAGCATTCCATAGGCTAGCCCATCTATATGCAGAAAATAAAAAATTAACACATAACATTTCATGCGTTTATATGACTTCATTAATCGAATATGACCATCCATTTTGCTGAACATATATTAGGGCCTTTGTTAAATTAACTTTTGTTTACTATATTATAGATTAGTATTTTCTAGTTCCTTTTGAGTTTCTCTAATTTTCCTAAGTTTATTGGATATGACTATAGTAACCATATCTTAATTGCCTTTGCTTTAGTTCTTCTAAAATATGATGAGTGAAGTTAGTATTAGGATCCTGTTATCATGCCAGTTTTATCTTTTTTAAAACATGTATCCAGAATATACTTCACTGGAAAGTTTAGATGATTGAAAATAGCTTTAAATAAGTTGGACATACTTGTTTAGCTATTTCAATTCATTAAAAAGTAAAAGCAACACTAAAATAGATTTGGAAGAGGTGCTATCACTGATTAATTGATGTTAAAATACAATAAAAATAGAAGATGTTAAAAGAAATAAATTAATGTCTTGATATGGTATATTTGGCTAGTAACTATATATTTCTTTGTTTTATGTTGGACAACAAGTGATATATTATGGAGTAATCAATTTATTCTAGATTAGGCACATTCAAGGAATATATTGTCGCATTCTGTATTTGTTATTTGGAATAGTTAGATATTTACTTCATTGTAGTATAGACAAGACAGCTAATTTGTTTTTGATCTTCATGGAAAGAAAGGATTTCGTTTGTTATTAGAATTACTCTTTTTTATTAAAAAAGGCAAACTTTTTTCATTTGCTCATTGTATGAAAGTTGGCTTATGAATATAAAAAGAGGCAATCTCTGCATCTCCTTCAATTCAAAAATTACACATTTTGATTGCTTGCTTGTATTACTTTTTTAAGTGAGGAAATGAAAATTCTCTTGAACCCTGAGTATCTGGAACATGATGCCTAGTAAGTATAAAACTTTCTATTATTTTCATTTTTTTATACCATCTTTACTTTAATGAAGGTTTAACATTAGTATTATGTTATTTTTCTAATTTTTAGTGCAATGTTCTCACAACTTATGGAAACTGCTGAACCTTGGTTTTCTACTTTTGAGCATGATGGTCAAAAGGTAAATCTTATAGTCTAAATCTTTTTACCATATTTGAGGGAACAAATGATTTCAGTAAGTAACGAATATAATCAGAGAATAAAAGCTGTTATAATTACTGTAAAAAATTGAAAACGTAAAAATACCTATGGAATAAGATTGAACTGAGAATCTAAACCATATCTCTAATAATATTGGCAGATATACAAAGGTAATATAAAAAATTTTGTATAACTAAATAGAAACTTTCTTTTATATGTGTGTATATTATCCATGCAATATAACTACTTAAAAAAATTATAATAAATTTTGAGTGATAAGTGCATTTATCTACTTGATCTGTTGCTATCCTAGTTAGTTAATAGACAGATTGTTACTGAAGTGCATAGATAACACTGTATCAAATAGGTTGTTTTACTTTTACTAATGCATCTCTATTGAATTTTCACATTTAACATCAATACCATTTATGCTTACTCTCTCTTATCCTTATTTTTTAGCTATAATTTTTATTGTGATATAGTTAATGTACCATAACATTCACCTTTTTAAAGTGTACAATTTTGTGGTTTTTAGTATAGTCACAAGATTGTGCAAATATCCTCACTATCTAATTCCAAAACATTTTCATCACCCAAAAGGAAATCCCATACCCCTTAATAGTCAGTCCCCAGTTCCCCGTCCCCACAGCCTCTGATGTCAGTAATCTACTTTATATCTCTCTGGACCTGCCTATTCTGGACATTTCCTGTAAATGGAATTATATAATACGTGGCCTTTGTGACTGGCTCCTTTCACTTAGTATAATGTTTTCAGTGTTTATCTGTGTTGTAGCATGCATCAGTACTTCATTCTTTTTCATGGCCAAATAGTATTTCATTGTATGGATATACCACATTTTGTTTATCCATATATCAGTTGATGGACATTTGGGTTCTTTTCACTTTTTGGCTATTAAGAATAATGTTGCTATAAATATTTGTGTACAAACTTTTGTGTGACCATATGTTTTCAGTTCTCTTGGTGTATCTCTCAGAGTGGAATTGATATATTAACTATCATTTTAAGCAAACGTATATGCTAACTTAGAGATCATTATGGACTTTTCATTATTATTACATAATATTGGAAAAATTGCAAATTCTTTTGCAAGGGATGTTGTTAAAAGATTTTAATACATTATTTTCTATATGATTAATTACTTTTATATTGATATAATTCTTTGCCTTCTGGTTAGAAACCATGTATTACTCAGTCACTTCATTCCATCCTCTAAAAAATGAAATGGATAACTAATGATATTTATGCCTTTTGTCTGGGTCAGGGCAAACCTTTGGTAGGCCAATTTGGCCTGCCATCTGTTTTTATACAGCTTGCGAGTTAAGAATGGCTTTTATATTTTTAAATGATTGAAAAAAAATATCAAAAGAAAAATAATATTTTGTGACATATGAAAATTATATGGAATTCAAGTTTCTATGTCCATAAAAAATATTTTATTGGGATACAGCCATGCCCATTTGTTTACTTATTGTCTGTGGCTGCTTGCTTGTTCCAATGGCAGAGTTACATAGTTGCAATACAGACTGTATGACCTTTAAAGCCTAAAATGTTTACTGTGCGGCTCTTTACAGAGAAAGTTTGCAGACCCCTAGCCTACATAAAGTCTTCCTTCTGCAATATATCAACATGTTACATTCTATAAGGGTTATTAAAGGTGAAATTTGCTGTAAGCATATGTCACGAACTACTTTATGTTTTGGAACAATAACTTTATATTCTTGGCAGATGATTTGATGAAGTCAGACTTAGGTGAACATCAAAATTTTGAGCAGAGAGTATTTGAATACATTTTAATAAAAGCATCATGATAATTTCATATAGCGGTCCATTTGTAACTCTCAGATAACTACAGTATCTGAGAAATTGAATGATAAAGATGTGAGGGTTACCATTTTTCAGTTTTACCTATTCATGTTGATATCGCTAAGTCAAGTTCATGAAAATGGCTAAGACAACACAAAGACATTCATTTTATCAAGGAACACATAAATGTGACTTTTGAACATTCACATTAATTACTTGCATATATCAATGAATAATACATTCCTAAAAAGCGTGTCTAGGGAATCCCTTTTTCATTCTTCCCTTTTTATTCTACTTCATGATTCTGTCACCTTTATGAAAAGAAGTTTGAGAAATCAATATGCCATTCTTTCATACAGTTCTTCTAGTTCCTCTGAAACTTTAGTTATATCACTATGCTTGCTGCCTAGTTCAGCAGACATACTTTTCAAAATAAGACTTTCTTGATGAAGGAAGCAATGCATTGGTTTACATAATGATACAAAAGCGTGATCTCGCTGCATTCCTGTAACTGTTTGTGGACTGGCACTGATCTGCAGACCACATTTTGAGTATTAATAAATGGTTAGAAAGATTTTCTGGTTTTATTGGTAGTTGTAGCTGTCCCATTTGATCATATTTGTTGAATGCAAATAGCATTCTTATAAGAAATTCTGATGCTAAGGAAGTATTTTACGTTAACTTTGTCTTCTCTTTTGAGTTTACTATTAGGTAAGCTAAACTGTTTAGCATTTAAGTGATCATGAGCATTGCTTCTGAGTTTCCTAATTCTTAACAGATTTTGTTATAAGTATTCTGAGCACAGGAAAAATCTTTTCAAGCCTGTAGTTCTTAGACTACACATAAGTCTCTATTAAATATTTCAAAAATGGGCTACATGTGCTGTTGATTTAATGACAACTTATTCAAACTAGAAATTGTTGCATGATTTCACTAAGTTAAACATATATATATATTTTTTTTTTTGGCTGAGGAAGATTTGCCCTGAGCTAACATCTGTTGCCAATCTTCCTCATTTTTTGCTTGAAGAAGATTAGCGCTGAGCTAACATCTGTGCCAGTCTTCTTCTGTTTTATTTGTGGGTCACTGCCACAGCATGGCTAACAAGTAGTATAGGTCCACGCCCAGGAGCCAAACCCGGGCTGCTGATGTGGAGCATGTGGAACTTAACCACTATGCCATGGGGCCAGCCCCTAAGTTAAACGTTTTTTAACACGTTAATTTAGGATCAGTTTTCTCCAAAGCCAGCAATTGTATCTCTATAGAATATGTTTATTCAAGACCCTTAGAAGATGACTACATAGAGTGATCTGTTTTCCACGTGCTTGTTAGAAACCTAATCTGAGCTCAGTGCTTCTACCCCACACTTTCTGGTACCTAGCCACACAAGGTTCTTCATTAAGGAAAAACTACATGACCAAAACACATACAATTTTTAATTTTTAAAGGAAATTTGGCTTCAGAGCAAACACTGTCTTTTCAATGTGAATGGTATCTTACAATTAACATGAATTCCAAAAAACAATGTTTTAAGTTAATATTAGGAAAAAATTTTTAATAAGAATTGAAATATTTTTTAATTAAAGGATCCTATCATTTAAAGCAAATGCTAAATATTACAAAATCAGAAAAAGATGTCTTGGATGTACCATTTTTATAATAAATGACCCCAATATAGAGGTTTTCTTTTCTCCTCTTTATACAAATTAACACAAACTAATTGAGCTATAAAAATTAATATGGTCTTATATCCTTTGGACCTAGATACACTGGGGCAGACACTGTGGGAAGTATAAAGGATTGCATTTCTTTTTAAGACCTGAAATGATCCTGGAAAGACAGATGGAACCCCTTCCAGGAAATTTTCCCTTGTACTAACACATGCCCCTTCTCTTGTCTGTGCATTCTACCACCATGATTAGTCCCTGCTCTTAGGTGGAATTCTAAATTTTCTTCTCTGTAGTCTTCCCCTCCAGACTAAAAGGGCAAGAGCTTTACCTTCTTTAACTTTGTGCCCTTGAATCTGGTCCAGTGATGAAAATATGATATTCCTTTTAGAGTCTCATATTTCAGGTGAAAAAATGGCATCCCCAGGATCTGGAAGCACATTGAGAGTAGAGACCGGCCAGATATTGAAAGGACTTGTAGAGCTGGCTAAAGAATTTGTTCTGTGTGTTTTTTCCCCCCTGAGTGAAAATGATGGAGAGCTATTAAAAAAGGTTTAAGGAGGGCAATTCGGTATAATCTAATATCTGCTTTAGATAGATCACCAGGCATTTTGGAAGATGGATTTAAAAAACGCTAAAAGCAGACTGGGCAGTGAGACCAGTTAGGAGGAAAGAAATGATTAGGGCTCTGAATCAGGTTGTTACATTAGAACTGTAGAAGGGGAGATGTATCCGAGTCCTCTGAGCAGTTCTGAGAAGCTAAAACTGGCAAACTAGGTGTTCTTATTGGAGGATGGGTTGGGGTAGGCGGGGGGAAAGGATGAACACATTTTTGAGCAGATGATGATAAGCTCAGTTATGGGCCTGCTGAGTTAGAGACCCTTTTGGCAATCTAATTCCTTGCCAACATTTGAATCTATGGGAAGCACTCAAGAGAGTTCTAGGTTATAAATACAGATTTAGGAAGTCTTTGGAAAATGGGTATTGGTTGAAGCGCTATGTGTGACTGCAGTCACTTAAGGAATTGCGTGTAAGTAGAGAATAAAACTAAGACCAGGACTGTATGAAAAAGCAGCATTTGTGAAGCAGAAATAAGAATTTGAGCTAGGATGAGTGGTAGGCAGACAATCACGAGAGAGTGATACCATAAATCCCAATGCTGGAGAGAGGTAGAAATTGAGGACTGAACATCAGAAGAAAGGTCAGACATGATGTATTAGGGGAAATCATCAGACTTGAGGAGGTAGTTGAAGTTTTCATGAAAGCATTACAAGGAGTTACAGATATGTCTTTCTCAATGTGCGAAATGTGGTGGCAGGAAGGGAAGTTGTAGGTGGCCCACGTGGATTTTTTTTTTAAGTCAACTGTATTTTTGGTCTGGAGAGTTTTCAGATCTTTCTCTTCAGCTATTTAAATTGATAAAAGGACAGTTAGAGAACATCTTTTCTAGTATTAGTTTCCTTTATTTCTTGACTTTTTTATAGTTTTGAGAGCTCGAAGTAAAACAGGTTTCATTTACTGTTTTTCATGTTTAAGTTTTATGCCACAAGAAATACGTTTTCATCAGAGTCTTCCATTTAGTGTACTGTGGCTGATTAGACAAACAAACTGGCCATGGGCAAGCAGACTAGTGGCTACCACTTCTTCTGCCGAAATTATATTGTAATATTTAATGTCGCCAGAGAAACTAGTCAAGGGAATACAAGTAGAAAATATTTTAGAAGGCATATCCTGGCCTTTACTTTATGAGCACAATCATCTATATGAAGATCAGCATATGATTCCACATTCATTTATCATGAAATGATTAAAGTAGTTCTTTGTTCTTATTTAAATTCCCATTGATAAATACATTCAAGAGTGATGTCTATATATTTATTAATTTCATATTGAAATAATACATGTTCCATTTTTCCTGTTTTTAGGGGAAAGAAACACTGATGACTCCCATCCCCTTTGCTAGACCACAGGATTTAGGGCCAACAGTTGCTATTGTTACTAAAGTCAACCAGATCCAGGATCACCTACTGAAGAAGCATGATATTGAGCTTTACATGCACTTGAACAGACTAGAAATTGCACCACAGATATATGGGTTGTAAGTATTAAAGTTTAAATTTCAGCTACACTTAATTTTGATTTATGGTGGTTTCTGTATGTCTCAGATCTGTACAAGTAAGAGCAAGGACTGTTCCAGCTCCATTTCATTTCATATCTCTTTTATGTCGTATGTGCCAGGCTCTGTACTCACTACTTTCACATATGATATTTCATCTGATACTCCCAACAACCTTGTTAATTGAGAGCTACCTCTTTGTTACAGAGGATGAAACTAAGGCTTACTAAGTTTACACATTTTAAACAGTGCATAATAATTCAAATCCAGGCAGGATTGCCTTCATAATCTGCAGATCCCAGTGTAAAATAAAAATGAATGGCCCCTTTTAAAAAAAAATTAATAAGAATTTCAAGGTGACAAATGCAGATCATTAAAGCATTCTAAGAAGTGCAGGATTGCACAGGTCATACACACATGAAGTCAGCCCCAAACCCGAACAATCCTGTGAGATATCCATGTTCTTTCCGTTTTATTGTGTAGTCATCTACTCTACCCTCAGAAGTGCATTTCTAAAAGTAAGATAAATGCCCCTCACAGTGAACATAGTATATTAATCTTCTTCAGCCGTGTAACTTCTGTAACATGCTACAGCAGAAGAATAGGGAGCCTTAGATGTGTGGGTGTTTGCATGTATATAATTCAGTGGCTTATAAGGTGAGTAGGCAAATTAGAAAGATAGTGGTTTTAATAAATATGAATTAGTTTTGTAGTGCTACAGACAACAAAAGGATCCTTTATATTGAAACAATAGAAAATTTATTTCTAGTGCTGGATAGTTCCTTGGTAGCTATTTCCTGCAAATCCCATCTCTCAATTAGGTAGAACATGGAAAATTGGGAGGATATTATTGAGATGTACGTAGTAAATGCTTGATAAATATGAATTCGTTATTTGAATTACAGAGAATCTCAGACAAGGCAAAAGTTTCGGATCAGAGCAGAGGCCGTTTATTTAGCCCAAAGAAAAGAATATCAGTGAGTGTTTTATTTATATTCTCATGTTACACCAAGTCTTTCACTAATAACAACTCGGCTGTCTTTCTTTGAAAGCCCTGAACTGTGCTTGAAGACATCTACTTTCCTGTTTCAATAATGCTTATTTTCATTTCTGTGACTTAAGTTTGAGTTCATCATTGAGAGCAGCTCCATCATTCCCACTGGAGATGAGAAATTTGTGGGTAACGTGAGTGTGGGCAGCACTGTTATTAATGAATTGCCATTTACACTTATAAGTCTAGATAATATGTTTGTGATTATAGACATAAAATTTATTTTAAAATAGCTGGTAGCAGTCAGGAGTTAAATTCTGTATTCCTCTCCACTGTGCACTCCAAGAATTGGTGTATTCAAATACAAAAGCCCATTTTACGCCCTCAAAAATTGTTTGCTAAAGTCTAGAAATTGGTCTTCAATATTGGGGAAAGAAATGAATGTTGGACATGTTTATCATTTCTTTGAAATGCTTTATTGTTTATTACCTCTTTGTCCAAGTGGGTGCTTTACATTGCGATGGTGGTGGCATGGACTTGAGTACAATGATTTGTACCCATTGTGTTCTAGTTTCCTTTTCAGACATTGGCTTTTATCAGCTTTCTCTTCATCATATTGATTCATAGACCTTCTTTGACATCTGACCAGCACCTTCCCAATAAAATTCCTTGATCCATGACATAATTACTCTTTTCAACTTTATTTTTTAGCAGTACTATCAGTACCATGGCTTGTGGTAACCATAGCTGACTCACTTATCTCATTATTTTTGTGTACAATCTCATCTGCATTATCTAAAAATGTATATATTTTTTAATCTTTGAAGAAGTCACTCATTCTCTCAATTGGTCTGTACTACATTTTATAGTACAAGGATTTTCCTTATTTCATTTCTTAAATTTGATTTTATTATTTCTATTTGTGGGGGCACACAAAAGGCCAATCTAGCTGAATTTTCCTATGTCTTTATGCTACCCTAAGCTGTACTACTCATTTGTATATTTCCTATTGATGACTGTTAGAAACTTTGGGGCCAAAGAATATAATGACTATAATATAAAATAGCAGTTAGAAGCACAGGCTTGGAAATGAAACAGATCTGTTTAACCACTTCGAGCCCTGGTTTTTTCATCTGTGAAATGGAGATTAAAAATAGCAGTACTGGGGCTAGCCCCATAGCATAGTGGTTCAGGTTCCACACATTCCACTTCAGTGGCCCAGGTTAGCAGGTTCGGATCCTGGGGGCAGGCCTACACCACTCATCAAGTCATGCTGTGGCAGCGACCCACATACAAAATAGAAGAAGACTGGTGCAGATGTTAGCTCGGGACTAATCTTCCTCAAGCAAAAGAGAGGAAGATTGGCAACAGATGTTAGTTCAGGGCTAATCTTACTCAGCAAAAACATAAAAATCAACATAGTGGTACCTACTTCATAGGGTGCCTTTGAGAATTAAATCACAATGTACAAAAATCATAGCGCTCAGTATGTAGTAAACATTTAATATATGTTGGCAATGCTTTTGTTATCATTATCTGTCATTACCATTACTTCATTAGAATATCATGGCTTTGTGATGTACTATGTGACTCATGAACCTGTCCATCTCTGGCTGCGGCTTTGTCTGTTTTCTTCACTAAAGGCATACAGGCTTCTACTTAAGTACATAATAGCTAACCTTTAGACCAGTGCTTCTAAAGAGAATAGTATAGAAGTTGAGAGTAAACTTTTAGAAACAGATCATAACAATTTGGCACAATAATTTTATGTCCTTGAATCTAATAAATGTTGTAGGTTTGAATCTCATAGAAATGAATTGAAAAATTTTGTTTTGTTCTATGTTATACAAGTAATATTAGTCTAAATAATTGTTGATGCTACTCTCTATTCTAGTTGGAAGAAAGTTGATAATTTAGGCTTACATTCAATATTAATACTTGAAAATAATTTGTTTACACTTTGAGTAAATTATCATCAAGTGAACAAATATAAAATTATCAATTTTCAGTTAATAAAAACTCCTTCAGGATGACATCAGAATCCATAATTGTATGATCTGAAATGTGCTTTTGCATGCCAACTGTTTTTTTTTTTTACAGAATTTTGATTTTCAAACAAAATATATTTTCTTGTATACTAAATGTTCTAGCAAAATTAGAAAACAATATGGTAAAAATGTCAACAATGAATGCACCGATGGAAAAATGTTACCAATACCAACAACTTGTGTAGAATGAGGAGTAAATCATAAATGTATGTTTACATGGTGGGGAAAGTGTTAGTAAAATGAAATTATACCCCATATTGAGTCTAGGTTTCTAATTTTAGTAAATCCTTAGCAGTTGCGTGGTACATTAAAATTTATTTAAATCTGCTTTCTAATAGGGTTATAATTATCATTAAGGAAAAGATTTTGCAGCTACTCCACTTTTAAAAGTAGTTTTTGTCCTGGTTTTTGTAAGAGAATGTGTGTGGAAGTCTCCTGATGTGGCAGATGTGCCATGTGAAAACATGGGTGTTGCATTTTGCTAATAAATTTATTTAACAAAATTAGAATTAATAATTAGTGTAAAAATATTAATTGTACTAACACTGGCTAAAGTCATTCCAAACTAGCTTATAGTAATTTTAAATAAATTGATGCTATTTATCTTGAAATATGGGAATATGTGCCCATGAAATCTTGAATGTTATATAGTAACTTGCTTATTAATGCTATTATTTTATGTATTTAAGTGCATTATCCCCTGTATAATTGTAGCTGGTTTTTCTGTTAGGAAATGTTAAATCAACTTACTATTTAGGTTAAACAAAGTTAATTTGCAATTAAATGTTCAATACTTTGTGATATTATAAAATAATTTTCCTAAAAGTAATTTTACACTGTGTTTTTCATTGACTTTATGAAACATTACTCCTGTTGCACTTAGAATGAAGTTTCCCTTGCTTTAATTCAAATAATGAACACCTTAAGTTGTCTTTTGTTTCCCTTGCTTTAATGCAAATAATGAACATCTTGAATTGATGGGTATTAGACTTTTTAAAAATTAAGTTCTGTGGGGGCCTGTTAATGCACGCTAATTTCCAAAGTAAAACATTGACTACATTATTTCCAACTTTCCAAGGTAATTTTTAAGAGTGTTGTTTTTTTTGGTATCTTTATTTTTAGTATGAAAATAAGTATGTCCTGTGATTTTATCACCTAAGGGGGTTATTTTTGTGCAAAAGCCTCTAAAATATTAGTATTACGATTGCATCCTTGAGTACGTACTTGTGAGTCCAAAAGACCCTTAATCACAACAGATTCAAATATAAAGATTCAATACTGTTTTCACTTAATACTATAATACTGTTTTATAAAGACATCAAAAATTGAAGTTTAAAAATAACAATTTTTGCTAGGCCAGAGTAACTGTATTTTATCATCACCTTTAAATATATTGAATCTGTATATTTTTGCCTACATTTTATACTTTGATATAAATAGAATACATAATAAGCATCTGTGGGATATGCAATTAATGTCACTTTTGAGGAAAGACCCTCATAACACACTTGGGCTTTGGCATTCTTAAATTATGAGCTCTTTACAACACTCATGGGATAAATTCCATATCTCCCAAATGTTTATTATACATCTTCCATTTCCCCTATTTCCTATTTTCTGGATTAGCAGTTGTTTTGCTATGGTGGTTCACAGTAATTTAATTGAGAAGTTTCTTGGTTATTGATAAATAATCTGCTAAATTTTGTGATATAATTTTAAAATATTTATATCATAGTATATTTGTTCTAACACACATGACAGTGTAATTATGTATGACTACTAAGTTTTTTTAAACCTACATTTGAAGTATAACCATATGGTAAGAAATATAATTCTCAGTCATCAAAGTCAATGTAATTACCCACCTTAAAAATTCTTTCTCTCAACAGTTTAAGCCAATAGCTTCCTATTCTAAACAAAGTTAATGATAGAAATATTCTTTT